GATTACTGAAATACTGCCAAATGTCGTGAAGATATACACACACTAAGTTAGTAGTAGCAAATATATAAAGACTTTAAACGAGTGCAAAGAGGTCATGTAGTTGGTCAAATTGACCGAGCCCGTATTGAGGTTACATAATACAATGGTCATTCAAGAGAGCTTATACTTGCTTGGCCTAGCTTCTGTATCGCCTCTCCAATAGAGTGTGAGTCATATCAAAATGGTGAAGAGGTTTGTAAAAGTTTATATCAGGCAGTAGTTAATCTCCCCTTCAATATTTATTGATAATGATAACTGACGTAGGTAATCTAGAATTGGTGGATAAATCACTAAGACTTTGGTCTGACTTGAAAGTGTGGTATAGGCACAATCCTTCCTATATCTATTTAGTGAAAAGGTATTTCCTACTAATCAGAGGAACAAGTTGGTGGTGAAGTAATGACTCCAACTCCTTGAATAATTAATAAGTATTTTTATTTTTTGTTGTACATGTGTTCCAATTTCATTTTAATAGTTGTTTGAGTTCATTCGATGTTTATGCAAGCATTTCCTTAGAAGCAGCACCATCACCTTATTGTGGTACTTACGTGTTGTTAAAGTTTTACATGTGAATACCATAAACATAAACTTTTTTGTTAAATTAAGATTTTTCTTTATTACAATCACTTTCCCATCTGCAGAGTGAATATGAACACCGCAGCTAAAACTGGGCTTGACAAAGTTTTGTGATCACATTTCACTAAAGGATAGCTTGTTTCTAAACTGTTCTGCTAAAATAAACGAAAGAAAGCACATTGGCAAATTTCTCTCATTTCTAAATCTGGTGGACAGAATAAAGAATAATTGTAATTCCTTGAAGCTAAAAATGTCAAACATTCACCTAAATGATTTCATTCTATATTTAAATATTTATATCTGCATAAACGTACTCGAGAATCTCCTGGCTTCGTATTTTGTTTTCATATATGTTTAACAGAAATAACTGTTAATTCGAAAGTTGGGGTACTGTGCTCTTAGTTACATGGCGATTAACACCATTATGCGGTGAAGTCAGATGCTGTTAACTTTCAATAGCAAGCAGAGCTCGGATGTACAGATGATGTACCCCAAAAATTGGTTCTGAGTACAGTCTTAGATTTCCGTGTGCAGCACTGTATCTGATCCGTTTAGTTCTGGTGAAACGTGTAGCAATGCATGAGATCCAATGTACAACCGAGGTAAAATACTGTAGCTGATTCATTTTGGTTCTAGTAGAACACGCCCAGAGGACTTATTACAACGAACGTAAAAGCTGAGGTAGCCACAATAGGTACATCATTAAATGTGGTATCGTTTAAAAGATAAGTTTTATTATATATATGTCTTCAAAAGTCAAATTTCAATTGTGTTGTTCAGTCCATTTGCAGTGTTAGCTTCAAATCGCCATATTATAAGCCTACAGATCCCATTGTACGTGTACAGAGTGAGAGAAAGCACACTCACCAGATCACAACAACTAGTAACAGGTTCTAAGATCACAACTGGTAACAAGTTCTAAAGTCCAGGATGCAAAAAGATAACCTCTCTAAAAGAGCAAAAGCTGCCGTTTCTTTCTTTCTCTCCCTCTATATATATATATATTTACGATTTACCTCGTGCTTAACTAAAACTTACCCAGGGTCAGGCGTACTCAGGCTGTGAATCCGAGGGTTCATGGTTCGTCTCCCGTTGCAGCAAAACGCGTTCCACACTTTGTGGCTGTGCTGCACGGGTTACGAATGACAGTCAAATCTCGCTATATGGTCAGGCAAGAATAGCCTACGAATTGGCGGTGGGTGTTGTTGAATACCTCCCTTCACTCTAGCTTATCGTTTCGAAATGGAATACGGCTACTCGCAGATAGTAGGGAACATTGTACGTCATGCAGTCAATACGTTTTACTGGATCTTAAGTGTTTAGACTCAAATGTTAAAATTGTTGATATAGAAACGTGATAAGTTTTTAGTTTTATTTAATTGTATTGTTGTGTTAATTACCAGACAGTTAGGGTTTGAATTTTGAGTTTGGGAAAAACGGGATTCATAGAGTCCTGTAGAATAAAAATGAACAAATACTACACCTTTACATGTCAGAACGTGTGGTTCTCATTTGTACCGTTTCACTTTGGGCATACAGGACGTGTAGCAAGCACTGGAACTAGTTTAATCAACACATTTTAAACTATACAAAACTGCCGTTTTAATTCCGTCTGCTGCCATCTGTTGACAAATAATATACTTCCACTTCTTCCATAATGTGTCGAAAAAATGTTTCGTTAAATATCGTACGCGCATATATTTTCTTTGCAGCTATATATATATATATATATATATATATAT